GCTCAGAACTTCATGGAGTAAAACTCCACATACTCCCTTGACTTATGATACCAGAGGATGACAACCAAAGACAGGTAAGTTTTCTTTGCCTCCTTTCAACCTAAGACAGGACATGAATGATGGAATTCATGCTCCCATGATAGGCAAAATTGGAGTCTGCTAAGGAAACACCTAAGACAGGCACAGTCATCTGGGATACTCATTGGAGTCTTAACATAAATAAAAAAGGAAGAATGGCTGGGGCCCACAACTGACTTAGTTTCCCAGTTTGAATCTGAAGTCAATTCTGATTCAATAGAGTTCAGGCTTGCTTGCTCTGGCTGGCCAGGCTTACCAACAATGCAACTCCAGGGTCACTTGGAGACTCTGCCTAGGAAAATAAGGTGGCATAGCTGGGAATATAACAGAGAAGTAAGAAAGAACATTTGCAGACCATCCCCAGGATCCGCGTAAAAGGAAGGAGTAGCCTGGCAAGATGGAGGGGACCGTGAGTTAAGCACTGGGGCAGCAACAGGAACATCTCAGGAGCTCTTGGGCAGCCAGTCTAGCTGCAACACTGAACTTGCATTCAGTAAGAGAGCTTGTCTCCAAGCAATAAGGCAGCTAGCCAGAGAGAAAGATAGTCAGTTCCCTGCTCTACCCTCTGCAGGATCAAAAACATGCATCACAGTCAGAGATACACACACACACACACACACACACACACACACATATATATATATATATACACACACACACACACACAGTCATCAACAAAACCAACACCAACACCACCACAACAACAAACACATCATCGCATCAACAAACACATACACACACACACAAGGAGAATGATCAGGGAATATCACCAACACCACAACACGGACAAACAGACATGTATACATAGCCTACACACACAATTCAGAACTGACAACATGGTTATACTTCCCCTACCTCTTTTGTGGTATTGAGGGTTGAAATCAAGACATATCACTGTGTTTTATCTATAACTATCAATTTCATGAGAAAGGGTCATTCTATGGATCCCATGCTGGTATTAAACCTAGAGTCCTTGTACCTCATCTTCACAACTGCTGGGGAGTGATATGGGTCGCAGGAATATATCATAAGAACTCAGCTGGTTATGACAAAGTCACTACCTGGAGGGATCAAGGATTTCCTCCAGAGGAAGCCAAATTCCAAGGAGTTTCTGGTGTTATTTGGATTGTTATAGATCAGCTGTATTCTGTTATGAAAATCATGTGTGCCTTCATAGTTTTCCCAATAGATTTTTTCATAAGAATGGCTAACAGTGTGTACTGTTCACTCTCTGGACAAACACATTCAAGGATTAAGGTGTGTGCCACAACACCTGGCCATATTTTTGTTCACTATATTAGACTTTAACCACTTGGGGAAATTGAGTCATAGCAAAATAAGAATGTAGTGGTTTGAATGAAAATGGCCCTCAAGGTGTGGCCTTGTTGGAGGAAGTAGGTCACTGTGGGTGAGCTTTGGAGTTTTAGAAGCTGAAGCCAGGCCCAGTGTCTCTCTCTCTTCCTGCTGCACACCCATCCAGATGTAGAACTCTAGCACCATTTTGCCTGATGTTGCCATGGTTCCTGTCATGACAATAATGGACTAAACTTCTGAAACTGTTAGACAGCCACAATGAAATATTTTCCTTTATAAGAGTTATTGTGGTTAAGATGTCTCTTTACAGCAATACAAACCTTAATTAAGACAAAGAGTTTCTTTAAATTTTTTCTTTTTTTTTGTTTCCTTTTTTTTTATTTTACAAGACCATTCAGTTCCACATAATAGCCACAGATTCTCCTGTTCTACCCCTCTCGCCCCTCTCCCGCTCCCCCCAGCCCACCCCCCGTTCCCACCTCCTCCAGATCAAGGTCTCCCCCAAGGACCGGGATCGACCTGATAGACTCAGTCCAGGCAGGTCAAGTTTCTTTAAATTTTTTAAAGTTTTTATTAGCTTAGATGTCTGAGTGTTTTGCCTGCATATATATAAGTGACATTCATTCATTCATTCATGAATACTAAATAATAAGTGCAAGCTAAGAATATGGCTCAGTGCTATAGTACTTGCCGAGCATCCATGAGGCCCTAGATTTAATCCCCAACTGCTTAGGAGATGCATTTCAGGCAGCCTAGCTTTGTGAGGGAGGATAGTGCCCAGGACAAGAGAAGGGAAGGGAAGAGGTGGCTGGAGATCGGGAGGTCTGGAGAGGAACAGAAGACAATGGCACCTGCTCAAATACAATTACAGGGGACCACTGCAAAGCCAGGCCCCGCCAGCTTGGTCAACACACATTGAGCTCTTCCTGCAGGCCCCGAGGTGCTTTGAGACAGGCAGTGGCTGGATGCTGGCCTCATTCTGGGGCCCTCAGGCCTGCTGAGTTGAACTAGGGTTTTCTGTGTGAACCCTGACTCAGTGCTCAGGTGCAGGTCCAAAAAGTGGGGAGGTACAGGGGGCTCTGGGGGACCTCAACCCCATCCCATTTGGTGACAAGGACTACTCAGGCTCATATGGATGCACGGAGTTTATTGGACACAGAGATACAGGGTCTTTGGGTCTTTGCGCCCTCCAGCGCAGGGTTACCAGGTACACTCGTCCCTCCAGGTGGGTGAGTTTGGCTGAGAGGAAGTCATAAAACATGGAGATGCAGGACTGAGATCTGAGCTCACTACTAATCTTACTCATCTTCCTTCTGCTAATCATCATCATCATCATCATTATATCTCTGTTTTTCTCGTTTGCCTTTGTCTTTAACTGTTTTACCTTGCCAGTCTTTGTCATTGTCAGGGTCAGGTATTGGTTCTCTTTGAGGCTTCTCTGGGTTATTAGTCCATTTCAAGCCTATCCCACTTAGGCAGACAACTGAGTGCATGCCACTGACAGTCTGGAGACGCTGGTCTGGACCTCCACTCTCTTCAATTGGACGGCCCTTTTTTATACCAAAGGAAAACTGAGTCCCCTTATTGGTAGTGAAGGTCAGAGAGGACAGGCACATTCCCACATTTCCATGCACCTTTATGATATGCTCGCCATCCTTCAGAAGAAAATCTTCATAACTTGTTGAATGGCCTCCATATACATCACTCCAGTTATTTTGAAACTTCAGCTGGATGCTGGAGAGAAATCAAGTCAGTGCAACCTCAGGAATTCCTGTTCTTACTCATAACTGTGCCCTGTCCTGGTTCCTGGTTCACAGTTCAGTCTCCAGAGGTGCCCAGCTCTGATATGGCAGCCTGAGTCCTTCCTCCTTCCGCCTCTTCCAGACACATCCCTTCTCACTGGTTTACATAGGGTCTGGCTCAGGTCATGCATCTGTGCCTGGGTGGCTAGATCTACCACTGCAGGACATTCTGAGCCTGAATCCTTTGCAGGTCTGCCCAAGTCACAGTTTCCCATCTGGAGCCTCCTCCTCTGTCTGACCCAAATGAGGCAGCATCCACAATGACACCCCTCTGCTCAGGTCAGCAGACCTTACAGGCAGAGACCATGGAGAAACTGTCATTTCTCCTAGTGTTGTCAGGAGGGAACAGGAGAGCCCTTGGAGATGTTCTACAGAGCAAAGAAGTCTTCTACACTATTGCTAATGCCAACAGCCTTCTCTTGCAATATAAAAGGCATACCAAATCAGATTCCAGATATAACGCAGGAAGGATATCCAATTCACAAAAATTTCAGATGACCATGAGTAATTTCCAGTGCAAGTAGATTTTGTGTTGTATGGTTCATTTCCTCATTTTTGACATAGATTTATTATTTATTTTTTGCATGTGACAGTGTGTGTGTGTGTGTGTGTGTGTGTGTGTGTGTGTGTGTGTGTGTCTGTCTGTCTGTCTGTCTGTCTATGAGGCATATTTTGAGCATGCAGTAGCTTAGCAGGGAAATGACTATCTTTCTCTCTGGCTATCTGCCTTATTGCTTGGAGACAAACTCTCTCACTGAACGCAAGTTCAGTGTTGCAGCTAGACTGGCTGCCCAAGAGCTCCTGCGATGTTCCTGTTGCTGCCCCAGTGCTTAACTCACAGTCCCCTCCATCTTCCCAGGCTACTCCTTCCTTTTACATGGGTCCTGGGGATGCAACTCAGGTCTTCGTGTTTGCAGAGCAAATGTTGTTTCTTACTTTCTCTGCCATTTTTCCAGGTATGCCACCTTATTTTTCCTAGACAAAGTCTCCAAGTGACCCTGGAATTGCATTTTGGGTAAGACTCTGGCCAGCCAAGTCAGCAGGATCTCCCTGTCTCTGCTCCCACAGCTTGAGGTTTACAGACTTGTGCTGCAGTTCTCAGCTTTCACACAGGTCCTGGGGACACAAACTTCAGGCCTCGTACTTGAACAGCAAACATTTTTTCTGCTCAGCCTTCTCCCTGTCTCCCAACTTCGAATGTTAAAGGATTTAGATGACCTCAATATTACACAGGACACACAGTAAAAGAACAGTCATTGATCATCTGTGCTGTGGGATGTCCGTATGCTGTGAATATGTGTTGCTACCATTGGTTAATAAAGAGACTGCTTTGGTCTGTGGTAAGACAGGTTATAGCCAGGCAGGAAATGCAAGCAGAGATACAGGAGGAAGAAAGACAGACTGAGGGGAGATGCTCCAGGCCGCCAAGAGAGCAAGATGTACCAGAACACAGTAAAGACATAAGACTCACGTCAATACAGAGATGAATAAAATGGGTTGATTTAAGATGTAATAACCAGCTAGCAATAAGCCTGAGCTATAGACCAAACTGTTTGTAATTAATGTTAAGACTCTGAATGATTATTATAACATTGGCTCCTGCATATCTTGGGCAGACCCGAGAAACTTCCATGTATACATCTGAAATTCTATTAACCTTGGGGACTGTGCTTGCATTTAAGAAGCTTGGCAACAGTAGCACAAGGCATTTGAGGCACTCTAGGAGCACAGCAGACCTCATGAAGAAGAAGCTGGTGAGGACAGTCAAGCTCTGGCCTGTCCCTAGGGAATGGCTGGCCTTTTATAGCAGAGCAAATGTCCAGAATAAGAGAGTGAACCCCACATCATTTCATGTCCTGTGAAGGCAGGGACGTTTCTCAGACCATGTAAGCAGTTCCTGTGACTACCAAGGAGCACTAGGACCACCAGAACTATGTGGAGGAGGGACCTTTCAGCCTCTATGATCCTTTCTGAATCACAAAGTCAGACGTACCTCTCCACCTGCCTCCCTGAGGATTGTCTAGTCCTACCCGAGCCTGGGCATTCCAGCTCTGAGTGGGCTAGCTCAGGTGAGGGTTCTAGACAAGCCACAGGAGCAGGCACAGCTGGGGAGTACTACAGGAAGCCAAGGAGACAGAACTCTACTCACCCCTTGAGTTCTCTGGCCACTGTATAGAAGATCCGGATGGCCTTGATTTCCCCCTTCCCTTCATCATCAATGTAGAAATATTTGCCGGCTTTATTTCCCAGTATATCTGGGGAAAGTGAGGCAGAAAACACTCAGGGCCACTCTCACACTAGAGCCCCTTGTGCCTAGGACAGGACACAGGAGGTGAAGGCCACAAAGGAGGCTCAGGTACTCACTCTGGGCTCTGCAGGTGGCACCAGCAAGGAGAGCCAAGGTCAGCAACAGCAGCATGGCTCCTGAGGGTTTGGGGCACAAGACTGGTGCTTAGAACCACAGGGAGATGACAAGACTTCAAAAGGGCTCTGAGGAAAAGACACCCCGATTTGGGATTACAACACCCCAGATTGAGACAAGGGAACATTTAAGAACCCTCTTTTTCCACAGTCTCTGAAGACTTCAGAAGGGTCCTGGGAGGGTTTCACCCACATGCCCACACTGCAACCCCCCAATGTCACAGTGCTTCCATTCCAACTCAGCTCTTAGCAAGAGATCCCATGATGTCATATCACACTGGGCTCTCCAAAGTCTAAAGCTACTCTTGGGGAAACCCCATATTGCAAACCCCTCTATCTCTCCCTCATGGTTCAGTCTCTATCTGGCTCAGCCCATCCTCTGTTTCCCCTCTGGCCTCTCCTGATGCACCAGGCTGGACTGCTGCTCCTTCCTTACCTGTGCTTTGTGGTCTGAGCTCCTTGGGTGGTTCCTTTATACCCTGACACCACTTAACTATAGTACCTGTGAGACCTCCACAGTTATGCCCTTGGCAAATTTTCCTTCAAGATGATAGTTTCAACCATTCCCAAGCCTGGTCATTCTATCCCTGAGTGGGTTAGTTCAGACCAAAGTGAAGAGCAAGAGACATGGGTAAGGAAGATCAGTGAATCTTCTAAGTAGATAAGCCACAGGACGTGGGCACAGCCAGGGCATGCTAAGGAAGCCCAGGAGCCTTAACCCTCCTCACCCCTGATGATGTCCTGGATTTCCACCCTGCTCTTAACCTCTGATTGCCTTGTGTCTCTGAAGAAAGGGAGACATAAGGGAAGGCATTAAGAGAGAGCTCAGAGCTAATTCCTCACCTCCAGAGGTCCTTTGCCTGGATCAGTGTCAGAGCCAGCCGACAAGTTGATCAGGTAGCTGTGTGGAGGCCTGCGGATTGTGGAGACAATGAAGAAAACAGAATAGAGTCGAAAGGATGGCCAGTCAATGCCGGACAGTGCCTGAGTTTATTTCACAGGCAGCTTATATACAAACTTGATGGGCAGAAGTAGAACAGTGCATAGCACAGTCTTTTCACCATTATCTACCCTGTGCTTGGGTCAAGGAACAGGCTGTTTCATTTTCTATCTTGATGTACCTCCCAGCTGAATGTCAGCAGCCTGAGGCCAGCACAGCAGCTTGTGTATAGGTAGACAGTGTGTTCCTTCCCATGGGCTAGTCAGGACATTCTCACATACCTGGACCAAGCAAGCCTGAACTCTATTGACTCAGAATAGACTTCAGATTCAAACAGGGAAACTGAGTCACTGTGGGATCCCACAATTCCTCCTTTTTTAATATTTGAGTTCAAGCAGTAGTAGTCTAGATTATATATCCTTTTTTATTGATTACATAGGCTGATTTTCCATTAGATGAGCCATTAGTAAAAATCAAAGCAGTATCTTTTATTGGAATTGGTATTATTATTTTAGGGAAAATTAAAGAACGTATCTGTGCAAAGTGTAATAATTTACCAGCAGGAAAATGATTATCAATTTGACCTAAAGCTTGAGCAAAAGCAATTGTTCAAGAATCATTATTTTGAAATAGCCAATCAATTTGTTGTTGAGTAAATGGCATATTAATAATCTCAGGCTCATTGCCAAAATATCTTTTAGATCTAATTTGACTCTTTTGTATTAGACATGTTACAGGTTCTTAATATGAATTTAATATTTTAACTGGTAAAAGAGGAAGATGTAATCATAAAAGAGGACCATTTTGTCATAAAAATGCTATATGAGTAAGTCTAGTGGGTAGGACATATGTTTGTCAAGGCTGATCACAATCAATGTAATGTATTTTTTGATAGTGAATAGCATTTTCAACCTGTGAAAGAACCTGTCTTTGTTTTTCTTTTTTTAGTTAATTTTCTAGGCCAATTTGGATCATTATCTCTTGCTAAAATATACCTTAAAAGTTCTAAATCATCAGTAGATAATTTTAAAATAAGATTAAAATCATTGAATATCCTCTAATAACTTCTAAAAATTATTTAATGTTTTCAACCTATCTTTTATCTTTAATTTTGTGGCTTTAGTTTTTTGGGATATAATATATATTCTAAATATTGAAAAGGCAGAATCTTCAGCTATTTTTTTTAAAATTAAATACCAACCAGAATTAACCTGATATGGTTAAATCTGCAAAATATCATATAATTTTTCTTTGAATTTAGTATAGTTCATATCTCCCTTGGCATATTTTAATGTTCATGTATTTTTAGGCTGGGCCTTTTTCTATGTTCTTTTGGATCAGTTAGACAAAAACAAATTTTTTTTTAAATTTTAGTCTTTTGACTTCTCTTGCTTTTTAGAATACATGCAAATTTTCATCAAAGTCTTTTTTCTTATGGTTTCTTTCCAGCAGTTTAGAACATTGTATAGGTATAACATTTCAAACAAAAATAAAAACATAAGTATATATATGCAATATCATAATAAAAACTTACATTTGCATGAATATATAAAAACCTGTATCAAAGTGAAACATTTGAAATTAATAGCACTTTTTTATCTTAATCAATGAAGGGTCCCAACCCTGTTTTAATATGGGGATGAGAGCATGTTTATGTGTTTTCACAGGAGGAAAATGAAGCTCATTGGCTGCCTGAGCGTTTAATATGATATATGGAAGAGAGAAATGCTGGTCCTGATGTTGCTGATGGTCATCCAGAGGTGCCAGAGTAAGACCTATTGGCCCTATATTTTTGATCCTCCTGTGTTACATACTATGATTTAGGAAGGAAGGGAGATTGTGGTCGCAGTCAATGATACCCGGCTATTAGATCAACCTGCCACTCAAGAATTCCTTATTTAGCAAAATTTTTGGGTTTTTTTGGATATGATAAAAGAATTCATTTATTTTTTTGCAAAAGAAATACTACTTTAGATGGATGTCTTGGAAAGTTTTCAAAACAAATAATGGGGCATGATAAAGTATGTACTGGTTATACAAAGTTATTGCTTCCTCAAAGTAATTGGGGATGTAATATTTCACCCCCTCAATGATTTCCTCTATGCACAAAAGAATTATGAGAGTCTAACAGAACTTTGTTATGGAGGTGATGTACTGGCATTGTTCCTTTAAAATACAACATCACAGGGACACAACAATACATTCTTGACTGGTCTGGAAATCAAGATGATTATAATGACTCTTATTCTATGTCTACAACTGAATCTTGGGACTGTCAACTGGAATTTGGTATTCCAGTACAGGGTTTTCACAACCTTATGTTGGAAACTTGCTCCTGCCATGGGGACAATGACAGGACATTCCAGTTCATCAAAATCCATTGGTCACCAGGCAGCAGTGGTGCACGCCCTTAGTCCTAGTACTAGGGAGGCAGAGCCAGATGGATCTGAGTTTGAGGCCAGCCTGGTCTATAGAGCGAGACCCAGGACAGGCACCAAAATTATATAGAGAAACCCTGTCTCCAAAAACCAACCAAACAAAAAACCTGTTTGTCCTTTGATTGAGAATATCTTCGCTTATATTATATTGCCCTATGTCCTTTTAGTTGGAGAGGTAAACACTTTTATAAATAGTTCTATGTTTACTATATCATGTTTTAATTGTATTTTGACTAATTAAATTTCAAATAGACAATTATACTCATTTAATAATGTTAAACCAACCTTATTTTATAATAAACACAATATATATAAATGATCCATGATTTGATGATAAATGGTTACAAATGATTAAAAAAGCTTTAGATAGATAACAGCATGTTGTTGGATTAGTTTTAGCAGAAATTGCAGCCCTTGTTACCATGCTTGCTACGACTATGATGGCTTTGTCTCAGTCCATTTAGACAGTGGGATTTGTTAATCAGTTATCTAAGAATGTTTCTATGACATTAAAAACACAAAAAGATAAAGATATAAAAGTGGAACATAAATTGAATGCCTTATATGAGATGGCACAATTTTAGGGAGATGAGCTCCAAAGCCTAAAACTAGAATACATTTAAA